ATGCGAATTATTTTTGTTAGGAAAAACAAGGTTTCTACAATAAAACACTATTTTTAAACATTAATCTTTGAATTTTTATTAACATTATATATCTTCCTCATTAGACGCTGGCAGCAAGCTTTAAAACTACTTCGGTCTTGCAAATAATTGAAAATAATTACAAGACATTTTGTTCTACAAATGACATGGTTAATATTATTTTTATTTTTCTATTATTTCTTCAAAATCTTCCGATGAGAATTCACCAATTTTTTTGAATAGATGATAGAGGATACTTTAAATATAAAAGCAAAGGTCATTAGTGTATTACAATCAGTCAATATGGCAGAATCTAGAGCATCGAAATTGGATATTGATGATTTTCTTAAGTATGTTTTTTTTTTTCGCTATTTCAAGGAAAAAAAAAAAAAATTATTTTAACGAAGGTTATTTCATGTCTAGACTTCTTTACGCGTTTAATCAGGCAAACATTCACTTTTGTTAACATTATTATTGAGGTACGAATGTCTTTATTAAAGCAAAAGCAAAAAAATTTTTTGTCAAATAAAAAAACTAATTAAATTAATTATCTTCAATAATATTTGTCATTATTATACATAGTACAATATATATATTTTATTTAACCACAAATTTAAATTAAAAGAATTTTTCTTTTTCCCTTTAAAACGAATGAATAACTAAAATTTAATTATAATATTGATTAGCTTCTATATTTTTAGCGAGCTCAGGTTCCCATTTATCACCATTTGCTAGTAATTTCTCCTTATTATATAATAATTCTTCATGTGTCTCTGTAGAATATTCGAAATTAGGTCCTTCCACGATTGCATCAACAGGGCATGCCTCCTATAATACAAAATTAAAAATTAAAATTTTATAAACCAAAAAACATAATAAATTTATTTATTACCTGACAAAATCCACAATAACTACAAAGAAAATTAGATAATGGGATTAGAAAAAGTGATTTATCATTAATCACATTAATAGATTACTTACATGCACTTTGTCATGTCAATGTCATATCGGGTTGTACGACGACTTCCATCATCTCTAACTTCAGCTTCGATAGTAATTGCAAGTGCAGGACAAACTACCTCGCAAAGTTTACAGGCAATACATCTAAACAAAAATATTTATAAATTAATTTTTTTTTATAAAATATTTTAGAATAAAATTAAATTTATAAAATTTACCTCTCTTCACCTTTAGATTAATAATAATAATAATAATAAAAAAAGGTTAAAAAATAAATATAAAAAGAAACTCGATCAACTATTCATTTGATACTTACCTGTAGGATACCTTCTCAATGCATGTTCCCCTCTAAACCGAGGACTCAATGCGCCTTTTTCATAAGGATAAAAAATAGTATAAGGATGTCTAAAAAATTGTTCAAGAACTAACCACATTCCTCTTAAAATTTCAGTAACTAAAAATAAATTTGCTGTGTTATCAAGTATTGTTGGCGCTTTTTGTTTTGGAGGTTTTGGAATCCTTGGGATTGGTGGCGTTGGAGGATTATTAATTTGTTCAATGACTTTACGTTGAAATGGTGTATTGGAAAAGTTACGGGATATTTGGGAAACTACTGGAAAGAGAGTTGGTCGTAGGCCTAGAATTCAAATTAATAAAAATTTTTTTGCCATTCAAGGTCCCAATCGATCTTTGATTGTCATGAAAAAAAAAATATTATTTACCGGCTGCTAACGAAGTTCTTGGAATACCATGAAGGGTTCTTTTGGTGATGTTATTAAGTCGAAACATTTTCAAAAGATCTCGAAAAACAAAAAACGATTTTTTTTAAAAAAAATGATCTATTTATTTCAAATGTTTGGTATCACCGAAAAAAATCTTGTCCAAATTAGTAAGTCTACAAACATTATGTAACGTGTGAAAAATTAATTTATATTTTTCCGTAACGACGACAAAAATTGAGAATTAAATAAAATTAATGATCATCAAATAATAGTTCATTTAAATAAATAACTCCCAATCCCACTTCTTATTTACAGATTAATAATAGTCTTGATTAGAAATTTTTTTTTTTTTTTTTTTTTTTTTTAGACTTTCATTATCCATCTCCCATTAACTCCTTACACGCCTCGTACGTTACAAAACTCACACCAATCGCTGGTGCAACTTTTAAATAATTAGGACCCATTCCCTTGTA